CTTGACAGCGACGCCCACCTTGACAGCGACGCCCACCTTGACAGCGACGCCCACCTTGACAGCGACGCCCAGCTTGACAGCGACGCCCACCTTGACAGCGACGCCCACCTTGACAGCGACGCCCAGCTTGACAGCGACGCCCAGCTTGACAGCGACGTCCACCTTGACAGCGACGTCCAACGAGACGCTGCCAAACATGACAGAGAAGTTAGGCAGTACGGCGTCTAGGTCGGCGACACCTGTGGTTTCTGCCACTCTAGCGGCGTCGCATACAGTGTCTTTGTCATTGGCGGTATTAAGTATGCCTTCTGTGTCGATGTGTCCTGCTGTTATTCTAGCGCTTGGTGAGTCGTCGGTGCGTGTAGGTGTTGAGAGTATTCGTACGGGGTTTCGACTGCTCGGAAGGCCCGGTTGTGAATGGAAACAAATCCCATTGGACGGCCGCGTATATGATATGGAGAATGGTGAGTTGGACAGCTTGAATGTAACTGGGGTGAAGGTTGCTTGCAGTGAGCGGGAGTTGGGTGTGATAGGCCACCGGGGCTGTTCTTATTTCCTGCCATTTATTGAGCGTGGTGTGGAAGTTCGCCAAAATGGTGTGGGAATCTTTGAGGTGAAGTTTCCTCCAGTGAAGGAATTTCATATTGATGTGGTGGAGTCGATGGAGTTCGCGGTTCCCGTTGAGGTCTTGGGCTGCCGCATGGAGCTGCCGTTGGGCCCAGTCTCTTCTGAAAGGTCGTGGTTGTGGCGTGGCGTGGAAGACGGGGGCCCTCGGTTGTACCCGCTTGTCGCCGTTGCCGTGGATCCCGTGCCGCAGCCCGTGTACGCAGGTTACATGGGGGAGGTGGGGAAATTTGTCGCCATGCTCTCGCTGTTGGGCGCACCTTTTGGTGTGCCGGGTGTGAACTACGTGACGGCGTTAGGTATGATGCATTACACACCGGACGCAAGCCGTCGCCTTTTAGGAAGCTATCGTAGTCTTTGCGTGGCAGCGGTCGAGGAATCATTCTTTGGGGTGTTGATAGGCAATCTCATTATCATCGGTGGTGTGCTAACGGTGCATGCTGTGGTGATTTTGTTGGTGAAGTGGAAGAAGGGCGTCTCGTGGGTGATAGGGGCCCAGCGCAGCTTTTTCCCTGGCATTCCGTTGCTTCTTCTCGTGAACCTTTTTGTGGCGACGTCCTTTGCGTCCGTGCAGGGACTCGCGTCAAAGGCGTGGTCTACGCTGGCGCTGAGCACCGTGATGCTTGTGGTGTTTGTCTGCGGCCTCATAGTGGCGCTGCTTGTATCGATGGTGAAGATCCGCTCGAGCTTTTATCCCGTTAAATTGCATCCATCTACGTTGAAGGCGGATGACTCGTGTGTGGCGGCGTTGGCGCATGGGTGGCTGCTGCGTGTGCATGGCATCTGGCTACCGGCAGCGGTGGCGAACAGTTTCTTTCTGGTGCTGACAAATTTGAGGCGGCCCCGTGTGGCATGGGTGACGCTGTGGCTCTGGGCGCCATTGCTCGTCGCTGTGTGCGGGGCGATTCCGCTGGGGACAGTTGCAGGTTGCATCGGTGCTTACGCCGCTCTGATTTTTGGCCATTTACTTTTCTTTGGGGTTGTCGCGGTGTTTCGCCCACTCAACTCCTGGCTGGACAACAGCTACTACCTCGTTGTGATGCTAGTGAGCGTGTGGCTCCTCGTCGTCAACATGCTGCTTCTTCTGCGCCCTGCCGACAAGCGTGCCCTCTACGCCGAATGCGCTGCCGTCATTGTGGCCAGCGTCGTCTTCTTTGTGTATATAGTGCTGAAGATGCTGCAAGTGCTTGTGTTTGGCACAAAGAGGTGGAGTGAACTGGACGTGTGGGGTATGCCATGGACGCGCTACAGGATCCCCAATGAGGCCGCGTTGTTTGGCACGCCCCCACGCGAGGTGCAGGGGCGGGAGTCGGTGGCAGTGCTCGCGTCCTCACCGGCCGCATCCACAGGATTCCCGCTGGTGGCTCCATGTGTGCGAAGTTTGGCGGAGCTCGCTTCGGATCATGGCCTCCGCGAGCAGATTCGTCCCGGCCGACAGCACCCGACCCTTCCTTTGCGGGAGCTGCTGAGAGACAGCGCGGACGCTGCGGACGGAATTTCACGGCCTGTGCTACGCATGCGTCATTTTTGCACGGACACGCTTCAAGACGCGGCGGCCAACCAACACTTGTCGTTTAGCCACCTCTTTCTGGGCTCACAGGACTCTATGGGGCTTGACATGTCGAGCAGCTCAGAGAGCAAAGACGAGGACCCGTTGAAGTTGGGGGTGTGAGGCTTCAGCACCACCGGTACTCTCCCCCGTTATTCCTGCCCTCCGCTGGGTTGCTCGACTGCCCACGCGGCCTCTGCGTATGTTTTTGCCTGCTACCCGGGGAAGCGCGTGACGTGCGGTTCTGGCAGGCGCACCCACTACCGCAAGGCGATGGCGTCTCCCTCCGCCTCTCTGTTTAGTACGGATGCAGGCATATATGTATATATGTATATGCCTGCCTGCCTGCTGTATAAGGTCTGTAGCATGATTTACTTACTATAACTAAACCCAACCCTTTTTCTTTGGACATCAATTTATGTGCTTTTTTCTTTTATTATTACTATTTTTTTGTTTTGCCCATTGTTATTATTTTTTTTTTCGTGTTTTGGCGAGTGATGATGCGTGCAGCTGTACTTTGTGTATCGTTGGTGTTGTTCTGCTCGGCTGGGGCGTGGCGCCACCCGGATGCGTCTACTGCAGCTCTTTCCTCTGCGTGCGAGTGTGTGGCATGGTTGCCGCATGTAGTGTTATTGCACAATGCCTCTCTCTTCCCTCACTTCAGAGTCCAGCAGTCCAGCAGTCGTGATGGCCAAGGGTAAGAAGAGCGGTGAGGCGAAGGGAACGCAGAAGCGCCAGAAGAAGATTCTGCGCGAGAACGTCCGTGGCATCACGCGCGGGTCCATTCGCCGCCTGGCGCGCCGTGGTGGTGTGAAGCGCATCTCTGGTGTCATGTATGACGAGGTGCGTGGCGTGATCAAGTCGTTCGTGGAGGGCGTCGTGCGCGACGCCACGGCGTACACGGAGTACGCCCGCAAGAAGACCGTCACGGCCGTCGACGTGGTGAACGCGCTGCGCAAGCGCGGCAAGATCCTCTACGGCTACGAGTAAAGCACTGGTGGTGGGTGGGTGAGGTGGTCTTCATGGCAGCGTGGCATGAGTGAATGCCCCTCCCCTTCGTCTTCCCGTCCTCCCGTCTCCTCCGTTGAGGGGCGGACACACGCACGCACACCTGCGTGCGTGCGTGGGGGGGGGGGGGGGGGGCAAAAAGTATAAGTGAGTGCCGAAGTGTAAGATGGACGTAT